GTATATTATTACACTGCATAGTATATTATTCCTTTACAGATCATTTGATTCCTTTCTTTATAGGGGCGGTGGGGTAGCCTAGTGGTTAAAGCGTTGGCTCGTCACGCCGAAGACCCAGGTTCGAATCCCCACATGGGTACAATGTGTGAAGCCCATTTCTGGTGTCCCCCGCCGTGATGTTGCTGGAATATTGCTAAAAGTGGCGTAAAACCAAACTCAGTCAGTCAGTCAGTCAGTCCTTTCTTTATAGTATAGTATCCCTGTATGCAGTATATTATTCCTTTACATAGTATATTATTCCTTTACATATTACATAGTATATTATTCCTTTAAATAGTATATTATTCCTTTACATAGTATATTATTCCTTTAAATAGTATATTATTCCTTTACATAGTTTATTTTTCCTTTACATAGTATATTATTCCTTTACATAGTATATTATTCCTTTACATAGTATATTATTCCTTTAAATAGTATATTATTCCTTTAAATAGTATATTATTCCTTTACATAGTATATTATTCCTTTAAATAGTATATTATTCCTTTAAATAGTATATTATTCCTTTAAATAGTATATTATTCCTATATAGAGTATATTAAGAAGAACATATTTACTTGGGTATAATTGTGGTAGGATGTCTTTACTTCAGCACCTTGTAACAGGACATATTTATCATATTTGTTTTTGCTGTCATTTTGGTTTTGATTCAAATGTCAAACTAATTGTCAAGAGTGTTTTTATCCTTTTTTACAAACTTTAATGTACATTTTGCATCTGTTATGATGTCATGTATGTTTTTCTTTGATGAACTTGATATGAACAGGACTGAAACTGGTATTGATTCCTTCCACTAATAGACTTGTACAACATATCAAATACATTTTCATGACTTGACAACATCTATTGCACTTAGTAACAGACATAAAAAACTTCCTTTTTTCCATATTTCATCATCTGGCGGAATAAGTACAAAAGACTGACTGTATCAATTTCTGAGTTTAAGGTGCCACATTACAATAAAATTGATTAGTTGAAAACCTAAACCAGCCAGTATGTACCAGAGGTACAGAAGCTCACCTATATAAAGTCATATCAAAGTGGTAGTGAGTAAGGTCCAAAATCTGTCAAACTGACATGATTCGAGTTTTTGATTCTGTATCTTTTATTCACCTTATTTTTAGTTTGACATGGGGACATATAGAACATATTTTTGGATCTTGATGATGACTTGAGTAGAAGTCTCAAAAACTGCATTTTGAATTTCAGTGCTAAGGGACCATTCATATTACTAGGGCGTGCGTGCGTGCGTGCATGATGGGGGTGGGGTGGGTGGGTGATGATTGGGTTCACACATTTTGTATTGGGGAGGTAGGGGGTGATCATTTCGGCATGCAGGTGGGGAGGTCACTTACTTTGTGCATAAATTTTAGGGTGGAGGTGGAGGGGTCATTCACATTGTACATGCTTTCCCATAAAAATCATCATCACCCCCTTAGTCATAAACTATGAACGGTCCCTAAGTAATTGAGAGTTAGCTGTATGGACTGATAAAAACATTGGACAGAAGTGAGCTCACATCAGTTAATATTACATGAAAAGGAAAGCAAAAAAATTTAAAAACAGTTTTATTTTTTCAAAATATAACCTTTAAACATATTGTATATTAGCTAAGGACCTTTACTAAGCAAAAGTCATATGGCAACAGTTTCAGATAACGTTTTGAAGAACAAAATAGAATAATCTCAGCTTTTTTATATATTTTGTTACCCAACTTCAAACAAGGATATAAAACACAGTTTATTACTGTAACCTTTAGTTAGTTCAAGACTATTGCTGATATTAGGCTGTTACTACTCATATTTCATTCCAATCTCTTTTAGTGAAAAATCAGGTGTCGTGTTGTCGAGGATCAACTGTCAGTAATATTGTGCATGTTCGCTATTGATTGTAATTTAAGTTGTCAGAGGTTTTTAATGCTCTAATACACTGAAAATATTAACTTACTATGCTAATGCTTGTCATATTTTAGATGACCCTGTCCATGACCTCCGCCATTTTTTTCACATTTCCCTCCTTAAAAATACAAAATGTGAAGCACTTACTTGAAATGGACATTTTTTTGCACGACCATCCCATATGTGTGCATTATTTTGTGTGAGGGGCAGTATAGCCTAGTGGTTAAAGCATTCGCTCGTTGTGCTGAAGACCTGGGTTCGATTCCCCACAAGAGTACAATGCGTGAAGCCCATTTCTGGTGCCCCCCACCGTGATATTGTTGGAATATTGCTACAAGCGGCATAAAACCATACTCACTCACTCATTATTTTGTATGACCCTCCCCCCAAAAGGTCTTATTTTCTAGTGACCCTCCCCTGATTCCTGCTGACCCTTTAACCTTCTGAACACCTGGTGTCATCCTTATTTTCAGTGATCCATTCATATAATTTTGCCTTCTGTGCCCATTGGAATTTGTTTAATATTATAATCTGGAAAGTTTATTCTCGGACACTTTACAACATTATCTGAGTGACCTGGGGCGGTGGGTGTAGCCTAGTGGGCAAAGCGTTTGCTGTTCATGTCGAAGGCCATGGTTTGATTCCTCATCTGGGTACAATGTGTGTAGCCCATTTCTGGTGTCCCTGCTGTGATGTTGCTAAAAAATTGCTAAAAGTGGCATAACTTTTTAACTCACTCACTCACTGATAATGTTAAGCACAACATTATCTTTATATTGATCCATTTTAATTTCTGACCATCATTCTTAGAAACACCATGGGAAACATTAAAGTTCAACAGAATGGGAAACTGAAGGACAAGTCTATTCCTGAAGATGAAAGGAATCCAATCATGACAGATAGTCATATATCAAGAACTCTCCAGTTTTGGACAAGATCTTTAAAATTCATTAAAAGTGTCTCGACATATAGTAGTTGTCAAGATGATAGTTTCTGACATTTTCTAAGATGAGATTTTGAAGAAAGGCTTTTGTTATCAATATATGTTGCATTATGTATCAAGATGGATCATCAATACGTGATGGGAAGTTTACTTCCACGGCAACCTAAAGGTCATCAGACGTGGTTCCAGTGTCGGAAGGCACTAAATCATTTGTCTGTGTCGCCATGTCAACAGATAATCAGTTGGTAAACTGTGACAGGAATCGGTTTTAAATATTTCATTCTTTTAGGAGTGAGTACAGATAAGAAGATGATTTCCATTCTTACACATGAATGTACTTCTTTTTTGATAAAAAATGGGTAAAATTCATTTATGTAAATATGATTTTTACAAACTATGTATTGTGACGTATACTAAAATGTGTTTGGTGGCTCAACATCCCTATTTAGAGTCAAGTCTTTATTTCAACTGTGTCCCAGAATCTTCTGTTTGTGGGTTTGAATCTCAAGGTGGGAACAAGTAGCCCAGTGATCTAAGGTGACACAAATTTTTTCACAGAGTTATGCCCCTTACGTTTACCAGAATCCAGTGATAATGGGTTGAATCCAGAATAAACCTGATTATAATTCTAGGGTTGTCAACACCAGACCTGTACATCTCACTCACTGAAATCTCATCAGGGGTGGTCGGATAGCTTAGAGGTTAAGCCATTCACTTGTCACACCAAAGACCTGGGTTTGATTCCCCACATGGGTGTAATTTGTAAAACCTGTTTCTGGATATGACTGGATTATTGCTAAAAACGGCTTGAAACTATACTCACCCAGGAACCTAGATATGTTAAACTGCAGCAAGGAGGTAGATCCCACATAGTGTGTAGACTCACTTCTAGTCTCTGAATACCCGTGAAGATCTGGGTTAGAATTGATCTTCAGCAACCCATGCTTGTTGTAAGAGGCGACTAACGGAATCGGGTGGTCAGACTCGCTGACTTGGTTGACACATGTCATCGGTTCCCAACTGCACCGATCAGTTGCTCATGCTGTTGATCACTGGATTGTCCGGTCCAGACTCGATTATTTACAGACCGCCGCCATATGGCTGAAATATTGCTGAGTGTGGCGTAAAACTAAACTCACTCACTCACTCTAGTCTCTGAAATGAACATATTTTTATAGAAAAAAACAGTTCCTAAATTATAATAATTAAATATAATGGAAAGGAGCCCAGAGACTTTCTTAATATTACTGTGGCTATCTAGACTTGCCACATTTTATAGACTTGCAAGGGCTCTCTTCGATATGTTTGTTTCAGGGTCTGCCTGACACACTAACATAATGTGCATCACATTATGATGTAGCCCAGTGACTGTTTATATATAGTCATATTAATATCAGTTTTCTGATATCATTTGTAACCTATCCTTTATTCCAGACTTATTTGTTCAGTAAAACATTTAGTCACTATGTCAATAAAAATACAATGCACTGTGCAGGATTTTTAAAATTATCTTTTAAATGGAAAAATTTCTATTTTCACCACAAATAAAATGGATTATTTTCATTCCTCAACTGATCTGTTCATAAGTTAGTTTGAAAGTGGTTTACATGGAAAGCTAGCTGAGAGAGTAAAGGCTGAGAATAAAGCTCATTATTTTCAAGAATGAAAGTCAATCACACATTTGCAACTAGGCTTTTCTGTCTCTTCCATCCAATTAAGGCAAGCCTTAATCCCCAAACTCCCCACATGGTCACTGTTTATTTCAAACAGAAGTCAGTTTGGTCTTTATTCGTTATGTTTGACAAGGACTCGTTGAAATAACATGTATGATATCCTCTTGTCAAAACTCATAGAGCCACACAAACACAATCTCCGACACAAACACAATCTCCGACCCAATCAGAGTCTCCAACAATACAACACAGAGACTTGGTTGGCTCTTTTGTAGGTCCTTTTGTAGCCTGTCTTCCACTCTGTTATCATGTAGAAAATTATCACTATTCAGAAAAAGTCCATTACAAATACGCCCTGTTTAACAACCTCTGTTCCCCCTCTCAATGCGCAGTCTATTATACGGCTATCAAGTAGCAGTGGCCTTGTCCACTTCAAGTTCCTCCTAGAAAGACTAAATACAAATCACAGCTTCATCTGACCATCGCCATGCCCTGCTCTCCTCCAACTGGACCTGAAAGCCTACTGAATGAGCCAGGCTGTAAAGGAGGCACTACCACACCACAACTCTCCCAGCGTCAGCCAGCTGATCACCAGCACAGCGAGCAGTTGGCGTTCCCTGCCCTGCCCACACTCACTTAACAGACCAGGGATGTTTATATTTTCGCTGGAGAATAATTCCTGCAGATAACTGACAGAGCTGAAGACTAATCGGATTTGAAACCAGGTTGCCAACTGTGCTAGTCCTCAAGCCTTGACTACCCTGTGAGGAGCCAGATTAGAGGTATTTTAGCAGCAACCTGTACATGTTGATGTGAGGAGTACAGTTTCATTCACCTTCTTGCTGAAAGAATTCGAGATATTCTCGGAGGAGGTATAAGCACCTGTGTGCGCTGTGGATTTACACTGATCCGATGGTGATAGTTGATTAGACAGGTGAGTTATCTGACTTATTTGTGCTTCAGCTTAAGACATCACCAAGTATTGTATTGATGAAGCTGTACAACATGCTATTGTACAAATATACAATTGTGAAGTTTTACAGATGGATGTGATGATGTAAGTTACTCCCAAACTTCACCTGACCACGGTGTATCAGGCATGATCACAATTACAAGCTGCCCCGAAACCTGTACACTCTCACACACCAGGAAATAGCCTGGGAAGGAATAGCTGTATATTTATGTTGGGATTTGGTCCATCTGGTACCTGTTACTTCGAAGATGATTTTCATGGCAAACATTTCAAATGTGTGAAATGAAATGGTTCTGTACTGTATGAACTTAGGCTTTGTCTTGATAGGGAAGAAAAGTATTGTTTCAAATTAAATAAACATGCAGTCAGCGTAACTATTGTTCCATTTGTGATCTATCCACGCTCAGCTGGGTCAATACTACTGTTACTAAGCTCACCCAGCATAGCATCCTATTCAGGTGTTGTACAGAACAAAGCGTCTTTTCTTCATCAGTAATATATAATGATCTATGCAGAATAGGGATACATACAGTACACATGACATTCTGTGACCGTGACGAGCTGATTGTTAGATGAGCTTCACATGTATAAACAGATGGATAGAGTATGAAGAGGAAGTTATAGAGTATGAAGAGGAAGTTTGCTACTCAGGTTGTTTATGTCATTATTGTGTCCTTATTGTGTCATTTTTGTGTCATTGTTGTGTCAACATGGTATGTTTTTTGTGAGGATGTTCAAATTCTGGTTTGGTATGCAAACTTTTAACATGAATTGGGAAACCTCAATTTCTTATTGATTCAAACTAGCAATATCGGTGAATCCTTTCAGAATTCTGATTAAAACTGAAGTTTTATGACAACCTGTTAACATGGCTGGAATCTGGATGAAAACTTGTATTTATGGAGTCAGGTTGACTAACGCTTAGTCCCTGAATATATATGAAGTTAATAACAACAAGTAAACCCATTTAAATTAAAAAGGAGCCCCAGTCAGATGGGAAATCCTGAACTTGAGGAAATCTAGACTTGCTTCATTTAGGGTTTTAGCATTGCAGGGGGCGATAGGCAGTAGGGTGAGGTGAGGTGAAATTGGGTTTAACGTTGTGCTGGAGAATATTTCGCTCATATGATGACGTGCATGTGTGTGTATGTGTATGTGCGGCTGCTTGTACTAGACCAGACTGAAGCTGGTTTTATAGTGCTAGCCCACTGAGATACCATGCCGCAGTGAAGCATGAATACCCCACTCAGACACATTATACTGACTCCAAGCCGACCAGTCCTTGTTGTACCCATTAATGCCAAGCACCAGGCAGGGACCAACAAGTACCATATTTTAACGTCTTTTGGTATGACGCGGTCGGGAATCGAACCCGCGACCTACCGCTCTCCAGGTGGACGCTCTAACCACTACACCACGGAGGCAGTCATAGGCAGTAGGCACAAAAATGTGGTTCAGGGACTGTGTCACAGACTGGGAGTCTGGTCTCAATTTTGCAACCAAATGGGTTTGAAACAATATGTATTCTTTAAATTTTGTTTGAAAGCTCTCAGTCATGATGGAATAGTTTATGAAACATTAGCAGATATGGATGCTGTGGGAGGGAAGTTTTCAGTTGTTTTCGAGTAGCACATTTTTATATGTGGATTACTATTGGATAACTGTCAGTCATGTGGCAACTGCATATGACAGCTGGTGGAAAACAGTGTTGAATTTAAATTTGATGGAATGTGAATAAAGTGTTAATTATTGTTGGAATATTATTGGAAAGCTGTTTAGAACCTGCAAGGATTGTAACCCTAATCATATTTTGTAGTCCATTGTTAGATAGCTGTAAAAATCAAGATAATGTTTGGAATCTTGGGATTTTGGTATTTAAAAAATGTAGGGAATTGAACTTTGATAACACAGGTGAACGCCTTAACCAGTAGGCTACTTGATATGATCAACAGAAGTTAACAGTGTTTATGTCAAAACATCCAAGGTTAACAAGTCAGCCCAGAAGTAGACTTATCAGCAAGTAGACTTATCATCAGCTCTTGGTGAAACACAGAAAGGGACTGAATCCCATGTGTTGACTTTGTCAACCTATTCTAGAGAGAGGGAGAAAAGCGCCATTGTTAAGCTGCTTTGTGTCAGAGCATTGCACATCACGATATGTCAGTGTCATCTATCCTGGCTGCAAGCTTGACTACAGCTCCCCTGAGTGTGGGAGATGCCTCAGTATGTTACTTGTACTTTCTTAGATGCTATAGTTACAAACTTTGAAGGGGTGAGTGTGTGAGTGAGTAAATGGATGGGTGAGTGAGTAAGTGAGCAAGCAAGGGGCATAGTGAGTAAGTGAGCAAGCAAGGGGCATAGTGAGTGAGTGAGTGGGCGAGCAAGGGACATAGTGAGTGAGTGAGTGAGTGAGTGGGCGAGCAAGGGACATAGTGAGTGAGTGAGTGGGCGAGCTAGGGACATAGTGAGTGAGTGAGTGGGCGAGCAAGGGACATAGCGAGTAAGTGAGTGGGCGAGCAAGGGACATAGTGAGTGAGTGAGTGGGCGAGCAAGGGACAGAGTGAGTGAGTGGGCGAGCAAGGGACAGTGAGAGTGAGTAAGTGAGCAAGCAAGGGACATAGTGAGTGAGTGAGTGAGCAAGCAAGGGACATAGTGAGTGAGTGAGCAAGGGACATAGTGAGTGAGTGAGTGAGCAAGCAAGGGACATAGTGAGTGAGTGAGTGGGCGAGCAAGGGACATAGTGAGTGAGTGAGTGGGCGAGCAAGGGACAGCGAGTGAGGGAGGGATTGAAGGACTGAGTAAGTTTGAGAGTGAGGGAATGGGTGAGGGTAATATCTATACATTACTGAAGATGATAATTTGGCTCTAAAATAAAGCGAAAACATTAGTGGAAGAATTTCCAAAATATTCGTATTCCCAGATTTCTGCAGATTGTTTTGAGTGATTTTTGGTTTTTGCACAGCTTCTAGCAATATTCCAGCAATTTCCTTGCGGGCGAGTCTAAGTAAACTTAGGCTCAGTATTATTCGTTACACTGCTATACTGAGTCTAACAAAACCTTGTAGAAGGTCGCGTCAGCTAACCTTTTGGACTGACCAGTTAGTACACAGCTTACCAAATCGCGAAAGTTAACATTCGCACATACCATTTGAACCTTTACCTAAAAAAACTTAACGATTCCGAATGCTATTTTCCGCACGATCACTTCCGAGTGATACACGCAATGAGTAAACAGTCGCTGAAAATAGCGTTTTTGTCAATATTCAAGGATGTCAACTTGCGAAAATATAAGCAAATAGTAACCATGTCATTAGAAACCCATAAGCCTATATACTGCACATCAAATATATGTGTTTTATGCGGATTTTCGTTTGTTCATAGAACAGTGTCAGCGACAAGGGAAGAGAAAATTCAAAAACCGCATCATAAGTCCCGAGGAACCCTAACAAGTAATCGTTGTCTTATTGGATAAATCCGTTCGGCCGTCTCGCGTTTGATTGGACGGTCATATGTTGCTCAAAGGTTAGCTGACGCGAGCTTCTACAAGGTTTTGTTACACTCAGTATAGCAGTGTAACGAATAATACTGAGCCTAAGTTTACTAAGACTGCCGGCGGGGAACACCAGAAATGGGCTTCACACATTGTACCCATGTGGGGAATCGAACCCGGGCCTTCAGCATAACAAGGGATTACTTTAACCACCAGGCTACCCCAGATTGTTTTACAAAAAGGTGGTACAAGTGAATGAGTGAGTGAGTGAGGATCGAAGGGGATGAAGGAGGGTGAGGGTCACTGAGTGCAGTTGTACTGATCAGTATTCTCGTCATATCGCAGGAGTATATTGTGTCAGGAAGGCATAAGGTGATACAAGTCTCAGGCGTTTACCACTTCCAAACAATCAAGCAGGTGTGCGGACAAATATAATAACACAATCACAGGGAATCAGGAATCAAACTCATTATGGGTTCTGACTTGTCCAAGGGAGATAACTCTGCATGGCGAATTGTAACTTTATGTTCGATTCAGCCACCACTGTCCTAGACAAACACTTTCTCTCTGAATATGTGTAGTTTTGACAGTTACAAATAATTCCACATAAATTTGAAAGGTGCTCCTTTGAGATGGAGATTACCTGAGGAAATCTACACTTGCTGTATAAGGGCTTTAGCATTGCTTATATGAAAGGCTGGATGGAAGGGAAAATAGTGTGGTTCAGGGACTGTGAGACATGCTACCATTCATGTCCCATAGTGTAGCTGAAGGTACTGTAGGTCATCCAGGGTACTACAGATATGTACCCAGGTGTACTACAGATATGTACTCAGGTATATTTCTGTATAGTGAGTGAGGTCATCCAGGGTACTACAGATATGTACCCAGGTGTACTACAGATATGTACTCAGGTATATTTCTGTATAGTGAGTGAGTCACTTGTTTTACGTCGCTTTTAGCAATATTCCTGCAATATCACGTCGGGGGACACCAGGAATGGGTTTCGCATATTGTACCCTTATGGGGAATCGAACCCGGGACGAGTGGATGCTTAGGCTATCCCACCACCCCTTAAAGTCATACCGTGGAATTAACTGGTTATATCTACCGGTATATGTTTAAGAGTTGGGGTATTGGTGCCACATGTCAGGAGTTGATATCTCTGATGCCTTGGAATTTCATTGGCTAACCAAATATGTGTTTTAGTTTAAGTTTCCATCAATAACAAATAATTCCTGCTCTGTTAACAAGTGACCTGATGTATTCTGATTGGCTGATAAGAGTTTTGTTCAACCCTGTGTTGCATTATTGAACTCAGATGTCTCTGGTTTCATTTTTTGTTGGTGATAAGTAGTTATCGTTTTTAGTTATATATTCATAGGATTTGACTGGGTTTTGTTATTTATGTAGGTAGAAATATAGAAATAGATTGCTTCAATGCTACATGGATTTACAGCATGCATATCGA